CTCTCTCTCTTTCTTTCTTTCCATAACCATGTCTATGTCAAACAACACACATTTACTCAGGATTCACTCACACTCAACGCTCCTGTCTCAGCCTCCTATGTACTAGAGTGATAGGCATAACCCACTATTCCTGTCTGACTTTTAAAATCATCTCTAGGGAGTGTTAGAGATGTAGGACACTCTGATCACCCCCATTTTGGACAGGTTAGCAAATGTGGTAAGAAGAACAATGTGATTTGTAGAAAAGGTGAAAGAAATTGGAGGCATGTTCTTGGTTCCTTTTGCTCTGCAATTCTGAATTCTTTGCCATTTTAATATGATGCTATATATGATCTATCATAGCTAATGTACTAAAGGTAGACTTTGTGGATGAGATGTTTTATAATAAACAGAGTACTTATTTATTATCTTAAGTATCACTTTTTATTTATGTAAAAAAAAAATAAAGCTTTGGGTTGTATACTGAGAGCTATGCCTTGTAGCAGTGTTTGGAACTGTAGCAGTGTTTGGAACTGTAAAAATCATAAGCAACCTTTGTGCCCAGATGAATGAGGGTGGTTTGATGAACAAGGGTATGTTATATGATGGGATAATACACAGCTGCAAAACTGAGGAAGCTAAGAACTAATTTGGACAGAATTACTGGAAATACATCAAATAATAAGATAAATCCAAAAGAATATTCATGCTGCAGAACTCTCTAATAAAGAAGGCAAAGTAAGAAAGTTACTTTTTGTTCATCTGTATAGAATAAATACAGGGAAGATGAAGTAAAAATTGAGTCATTGCTTACTTATATGAGGTAGAAGAGAAATAAATAGAAAGGGTTATAGGAAGAGAGGATACATTGTTTCATACCATACTAGATTGCAACTGTAACAATGTTTGCTGTCCCGACAAAACAAGCCCTTAGACAAGAGATTAAGGTCAGCAGGAATCCAATAGAATACAACACTGACAAACGAGTGAAGTTGCACTAAATGGAGACCATGAGAGCTCGCCCAAGCCTCTTGGCCATGGCGGGTGGAAGACACCCACAGGCCCACCTGGTGCCATTGTGGTGAGCAACTAGATGGTGGGGAAATGGTAGAGAAAGAGAAGCAATGTGCTGTGGAGAGAGGGGGAACTGAGGAAGTGAAGGAGGTGAGGTGCACGCTGATGTGGACAGCCTGATTGCCATCTGGGGCCATGGTGATGTCTAGGCCCAGGCTGCTGCCCAGGACCACGTCTGGGTCCGTAGTCTACCATAGCTAGGGTCTATGTTGATGTCTATGGTCCGTGTTGCCAACAAAGGCCACAGGGTTGCCCAGGGTCTGGGATGCCACCTGTGGCCATGTGGGTGTCCAAGAGCCATTCTGCCTCTGCGGCCATACAAATCTGGGTGGCTTCTCAAGGCCACGCTGCAACTGGGGGTCTGTGTTGACATGTGTGACCCATGTTACCACTGTGGGCCTTGCGAACCATGCGTGTTGAAATGCGCGGGCCGTTGCAGAGCTGGCCTCATCCTCCATTGATCCTGGGAGATCTGGTCCTGCCCCACACTGGCTGGTGAAGCTGGAGAGCTGGTCCCTCACATGGGAGAGTTGGCTCCGAATAATCCTGGCCCAGGGAGATCTGGCTCCGCCCCTCAGGGGAGAGCTGACTTCATCCCTCACAATAGGAGTGGGTAAACTGACCACAGGTGAGATTAACCCAATATGGCCTAGGTGCAGGAGAGCAGGCTATGGCCCTTGTCTGAGCAGGTGGTCCCAGCGGAGGCCTGGACTAACTCAGGTACCACCCAGGCCCGCATCCATTGTTTTGAGTTGGCCCACCCCGACATGTACCTGCCATCTATGACCTGCTGAAGTGTGGCGCATGAAGGTACT